AAAAAAGCCAAACACACGCACAATCACACAAGGAATGCTTTCTGTACAGGTAAAAAAAAAGAAAGAAAAGAAAAATCCAACCAACATTTGTACATATTTGTATTAAAAATTATTGACTTTACTTTTGGGGGTTTTATTTTTTTAAAACGGCAACTAACAGGAGGGATTAGGAGCTTTGAACTTTCACTTTTTTTGAAGGTTCTTACTCTCCAAACAGTTTTATCTGAAAGAACAAAAAATGTATTAAAAAGCGGGGGAAATTTTAAATATTAAACAAACAAAATTTTTGGGGGGGAAAAGGACAAAAAACCAGTCATTCTATTATAGAAGTCTGTTTATATATGAATGAATATATGTATTCTAAATGTTATTCCTTCGTGTTGTACACAACTTTGTAAATAAATTTTTAAAATGCTGTTCCTTGTGTTATTTGATAATTATATACTATAAATATATATATAAAGAGAGTCTGATCGGGTGACAATTTAGGTGCATAATGTATAAATGAGAAGATATTTTAAATGATTGAAACTAACTAACCTTTTCTGTAAATATCTAACTTTCCCTTTAATTCAAATAACCTTTCCAGGAGTTGTTGTTAAATAACATGCTAGTTCTGTTAGTTATTGTTTCTATAGATCTTGACTAATTTAAGATCCCAGATTTGTTTAGTGCCTGGCATAATAAAACAGACGATTAGTGCAGATAACTTCCGTTTATTCAGTCTAAATTATCAGCGCAATTGCGCAGTGAGCAGGAAAGCAATCCAGTTGCAATACAGAAAGGTTTGCCATGGCAAAATCTAATTTTAAATCAACAGTATAAAAATAAAACATTATCGCAATTAGATTATGTCTGAGACGCATTAACGCTTTAGAACGTGAGATAATATTTCCCCAAACCGCATTATTTTTCTACTATGACTATGTGTATATAAACAGTCAGTTAAAGTAGCACAACATTCATAATACCTATCATTATTCTGAGTATACTTTGTATGTGCATTTCTTTACAATTTTAAAAATGCGGTATTAAATTAAACCTTATGGCAATCAAAAGATTGTTACTAATTTATTTTGCGGTAGAATTAATATGTGTGCTCAACCAATCTAGTTGTATGAATCTTTCATTATTAATATAAGGCAAATATTATATTATTAAACAGCTGAACCTATATTTGAAAGAAAAAGAAATAACCTTTATCATATGAGAATTTTAAAATATATTTGCGATCATTTTATGTTATCGACTCCTAATAACTAAGTTTGGAGAACAGTTGCAAATATATACTATATATATATATTTGGGGCAAATTAAAGTGACCACGAGCTATGCCGAAAATAATTCGCTATAAAGTCTGATAGAATTAAAAACACATTTGTTTTCAGCCTGAAAAAAAAAGAAGCGAAACAGTAAGAAAAGTATTCATTCATGTGCATTGAAAATATTTTATTATTCTATTCAAAAACGTGTCAGTTTCACCTCAGGTATTGGAAATAAAATGTCAGTGTTCATATTCCACATAGACAAGAATCTCCTCTTGTTAGTAAAATGTAGTGCATAAAATGCATGTTCAATTAATCAGCTATATTAAGACGTTAACGACTTATTACTACAGCACTGATTTTGTTGCTTATTTCAAGTATAGGATCTGATAGGATCTGCTGTAAGAATGTATCCTTGCCTTATACACAATTTGTTTTCTTGGTAAACACTAAATATTATTGCATCCTAAGTAAACATTTATACCTCGGGATACATATACTAAAATAAAACAAGCTGCCTGGTGACTGGATAGTTTGAACTTTATAAATAAGGACCTGATAATCATCTGACACGGAAAGGAAAAACAGTCACCTTAACCAAGAAGAGATTATATATCAGAGGCTCTTCATGCAGGTCCCTACATGGGCACTCCTCTAATCTCTTTTTAAAAGGAAAACTAAACAGATCTAAATTTGTTTGTGTGCTGCGGCTATAAAAGTAACAAGTTGTTTCACAGTTGTGTCTAGCTAATCGGTTTTACACAAACAGCAAATGGTGCATGATTTGTGCAACACACGCAGAGGTTATTTCTATATTTAGCTGATACCCCTGGGAAAAGAGAAAGGAGGCTCTTCTTGAATTCACTTTTAGGCTCAAGAAGCTGCTGATCCCGTGCTTCTAACTGACATTGGATAACAGGGGGCTCATTCCATTCCTGATCCTTTGTTACTTATAAAATTACTCCCTCATATTTCCGTACATAGCAATAATACCTCCCGGCCCTGCATGTGTGTTCAGAACAAGCAGCAGCCTTTAAACTGGAAGGCCTTTTCGTACTATTTATTAGGCAGCCGGGGGTGGGAAGAAGGCAAAATAGCCGGCAACTTTCTTCCCAACTAGTTTCCTTTTGACACGGAGATTGGAGACATTTCTCTTTCTTTTCTTTCCCCCATGATCTGCATAACAGCCCAGCAGAACTCTAGCAGTAGTGCGGGGGGAATCGGGAGAAAGGTCGTTTCTCTAACGCTGCTGAATAGTTCTCTTTAGATTCCAGAGATCAGCTACTTCTTTGAGAGAGAAACGTAAATATCATGACAGTGTAAACGTTTTAGTCGCAGCAGGAAAATGTGCAAATCGAATTCGAAAAACAAACATGGCAGAGGGAAGCCCAAGTATATTCCCCACTGCTTGGAACATTACAATAATTTAAATTAATAGGTTATAAAATAATACGGAGTTGATCAATTGTTCTCCTAGGTTCTTTATTAAATTAAGAGTGGATTCATTTTAATCGCATTTGGTTTGCTGGTAATGATGGGATACGTTATGTAATTATTGCGTGGAATTTTTTTCGAAGGGTTTATTATAGCGTCTTTGTCTCTCGGCCCCCATGATCCGCTACACACACCGCTGACTCAGACCTAGGATTTGCCATTCTAGCTTCTGCTATTGCCGCCTCTGCAAAGCAAACGCCAAATGTCCTGTTGTCTTGTACTCTATTACACAGGCAAGAGGCACAAGGATATTGCACGGCAAAGAGCCCATCACCTAAAAGTAGGACGGGAAGAGAAATCATTAATTTAAACAGAAAGGAATTGGGGAGCAAAATGAACCCAGAGGCCGCAGGTGAAATCTCACTTTGGGGCTCCCAGAGGGACTCAGAATTGTAATAGCGGAGTGGAACCTGTAGGGGGCGTTAGGTATATAACGAATTTCCCAGATGTCTGGAGCAGCTCCTGACCTCCGCGGTCTATAAAGCGGCTTCTCTAGACTTCTTCCCCCACACTCCCCAGGCATATACAGAGGGACTCCTCGGGGAAAGGATTGCGAGAGGCACACTCCAGTATTGTAACTTGGGAATGGAACAGATTTCTATAGAGGTCTGGAGGAGGTAAACAGATTAACGCGGATGATGAGAAACAGACGACTTTGAAGTGAGGTGTGGAGAAAAGGGAGATCCTTTATTTTTATAGTCCCGTGAATAGCCATAATATTTTGGGAAGATCCACAAATAACACAGACAGACAGGTCCACACATCACTGAATTCAGCAGTTATGTTTTTTTCGTGTATTGTATTTCCAAAAGACACTTTCTGATCCTGCTCCTTCCCAAGTCAACGGGAACATTACCATTAACTCGGATATCAGCAGGATCGGGCCCTTCCTTTGTATATTTGTCGGTTCGTGTGGCTTGAACGGAAAGAAAATTTCTGGGCACTGATGCAGCTGGATGCCAAAGAAATATATAGAGTTCCTTTATTAAACGGGGTTTAAAAGAATCCCACGTAGAACAGATCGTTAGGAAGAGAGACGAAACATTCCTAACCCATTGCCATAGATTTTATTCAAGATGTCCAGCAAAAACAAAATATTCGATTGCTGAGTCAAAAAGCAATTTGAAACGTGGGGAATCTCCTATGACTTTTACATTGATGGAAGTCCTGACACCGCTATGAACCCCATCTCCCTGACCCCTGCACATAACTATCCCAGCAGAGTAGCGAAGTTTCCACAATGGGAAAACCACTCAACTCAACCAAGCAACGAAAGTCTTATTTGCTGGGGTTCCTCCCCCGCCCCCATTTCCACAAACCCTCCGACACATATGGCAAAACTTGACACGGTTGGTGACAGATGCCTGTTAGTGTAAGACATGTCATGCTGGCCTCTGGGGTGTATTAAAAGTAACCAGATCCTAAACACTGGGAAAATGACCATGCTCTGCAGTTGGTGTAGTTATCCAGAGCCAATTTTTTTTCCACTTTGGTTATTTATTAAAAATGCAGCAACATTCTTCATTCACCACAGAGGAGGTTTAGTAGACTATACAAGCAATAATACTTTAATAATACTACTAATAATATTTGAAATCGTTTACATCGTTGGAAATGGGGAACACACCGACGGTCTAATGAACACCCTGTTTCCCTCAGTTGCTGTAAATCGGTATAGCGCTGCGATTGACACCGGCTGAAGATCTGGCCCTTACTTTTACAGCCGGTTTTATTTTGAAAGAAAAATCATCGGACAC